CCCCACCCCCCTCCCAAAAAAAGGCTCATTTCTCAGTGGGAAAAGAAACACTAGCTCGGATTCCCAAGCTCCGAGAAGGCCATGGGAATATAAAACGCCTATAACAACTCTTTGTCACCCGAACCCTATGCATGGTGCATTTATGAGATTTGAAATGTCCTTGAATCCCAACTTCAATTCAAGACAGTGATGCCTCTCTCGGAGTAATATGTGATTCCTATTCATGCTTTTCAAACTGTAAAAGATACATACAGCAGGGAAGTAGCTGGGTGGGGTGGGAGGGATCGATTTACTGTAGCAGCTTAAGTTTACATTTATCAGGTGTCTGCTTCTGATTTGAATATATATCGCCAAACTTTCTTCATCAAATCTGACATTCAAATCATGTACTATTTCTCTACACAAAATTCCATGCAAGATTAAAATAGCACATATATTGCTTTTTTTCTCGCAAAGAATTATGGTCAATGTCAAGGTCAACCAGAGCAAACATGATGCTTCCATTTAGCTGACACCGATGGACTAAATCTCTGACACTCAGTAGTTCAAATATGCTACGCTGAGTGGCTTGACTTTGTTCATTAGTTTACAGGCGATCGATTTGACCACCGAGTGGGTAGGCTGCTGTATGACTTGGTTCATCTGATGGTCCGAGAACCAGAGGGGAAATTGCCACCAGATGAAGTGCGGTCGCTGCAAAACATTTATTCCAATATGTCACTTCCTGATTCACATAAACCCTGCTCCGAGAGAAGCTTCTCAATGCAGTAAGAGTTTTGTTCTATTGCATTCCAGGTGATAAAAGATGTCTCCCTTTGGGATTTCACAGTTTACTGCTCTCACCTTCTTGCTGTCAGAGAAAGTAGCCCTCCGATATACTTCCCTCTGGCCATTTATTTCTCCACAGTACCGCCACAATCTTTCACACATCTGATCTGCATGCCAATCGAGCCACTTGATAGAGATTGGTTTCTTGATCGAGCTACTTTGATCAAAATAGTATGTGAATTATTGAAGATTTACAAATCAACTTGCCTGGCTAATTCTGGACAATATGATCATCAAAGCACTGTATCCACTTTTTTGATAGGGTCAATATTGACATAAGTTGACACTTGCAGTCGAGTGGCGGTGGTGAAGGATGAAGTTGAACGCCAACAATGTAAGATCTGAGGAACATAGACCTCGATCGATTACATTACATAATGTTCTTACTGTTGTTATTAATTAGGAGCGAGACATATTTTCCAACCATATTATTATCCCGCATGCAAAAGTAGATGCGTGGGGTGTGGACAAGCCACTGTACAAGTTGGTCAGAGAAGGAGAGGAAGCGCCATGGAAACGGGTAGGACAGTGAATGGTATAAAGTGAGACAACTCTATGCAGATGAGCTGTTGCATCGCGCACGGATCCATGCAGACCTATTACCAGATGCCATATGTCTCCATGCAGACATTCTTTAATAATTGAGGTCAAACCTTTGGGATTTGAGAGAGAGAGAGAGAGAAAGAGAGAGAGAGAGATGTGGACTGATTTGGAAGAGATGAAGGAATGTGATGGATGTGAAGAGAAGCGGGATTCCCGGAGGTCAGCATGAGTCCAAGAAATCATCACATGACTTAGCTCCATTCATGGTGGGTGTGTGTGTGTGTGTGCGCGCGCGCGTGAGAGAGAGAGAGAGAGAGAGAGAGAGAGAGAGATGATGGAGAAGCGATTGGAGAGATTAATGGTGGTAGTGAAACCCAAAGCAGTACAATTTGTTATGGTGCAAAGCTGTACGTGCTGCATATGATCTCACGTAGATCGTGACACTGCATGACCACTCGAAGCACATCCCAAGAACGTTTGGGAGAA